TGTTAAAAGCGAGTTTTCCCCCATGCAGCAGCAGAGCAGGAGAGACGGAGAGAGCACCAGGTGCACTAGGGGCGTATGGAGGTAAAGGGATTTGGTGACTCATGCGGGGACATGAGCTAGGACCCATCCCCTGTTGTGTGAGGGGACAGACCCGGCCTCTGCAGAACCAGTCCCACGCTCGGCTGCTTTGCTCTGCTCCACTGCTGGAGTTGTGCCATTGCGGAGATACAAACAGACTCACTAGCCTGGCAGAGAGATTCTGTGCCTCAGTGGCTCTGGCACCTCCTTTGTGCTGGGAGACCCAGGCTCCCCTCCCCCTCTGGCAATGCCTTTAAAAGTGATTTATCCCCCGTGCAGCAGCAGGAGAGACTGAGAATGCACCAGGTGCACAAAAGACTCTCAGAGGTAAAGACACTCAGCTGCGGGTCTGTTTGCTGGTTGTCTCCATGAGGGCCGTGAGGCTGGAGGTTGGGACCCTGGCCAGGCCCAGTGACAGATCTGTTTGTGAGGGTGTGTGGCTGGGACCCTTACACATAGAACAGCCTCGAGTCGTTAACTGCTGCGTTAGCCATGGGGCAGAACGGAGCAGCAAGGCCCAGGCTGTACGGTAGTTACTTGCCCAGCAATCACTTGACCAGATTCTTGCATGAAACACAGAACTATCGAGCTGTGTCGCTACTTTAGCCCCATTCCTTTTGATACGATCGACAGACCTGCCTGGCCGCTGGGTTCTGTGTATTGTGCAGCCTAAGTGCGCTGACGTGTAACACAGCAGCACTGTGAAACACTCCCTCCCCCAAGTCCTTTCAATAAATGTGATCATGGTGGAGTGAAAACAGGATTCCCACCAACCGCTCCCCACCCCTCCTGCTGAGAACTGTGTTCCAGGGTCACCCCCCTACCATGGGATGGCTGCGATCCATGAGAGACCAGCTCCTCCCTGGGAAACCCCAGTTCCTGAGCGTGGCTCAGTGGATCACAGGACACAAGCAGGACGATGTTTAGTTTTGTGATGTTCTTTCCCCTCAAATCTCCACTGACTCTCCTGGTGGATTCTCCCACAGCCGCACGGGGGGAGTTGGAACCACCATGAAGTCTCTGCTGATCCCCTTGACGTACTTCTGGCTGCAAACCTGGCTGGAAATCCCTCCGGTAAGCTTGCCTGTGAACGTGTCTGTACTTCATCTTGTTTCTGCTCATGGCTGTGTTGGGTGCCAGGTTGCCTTAGACCCATAGATGTGTGGGGCTGGATAGGACCCCGCGAGGTTGTCTGGTGTGGTCCTCTGTACTGTGGCAAGCCCAAGCCCACTGAGACCAGCTTTGACAGTTTTTGTCTAATCAGAGCCCCTCATCACCTTTCCTACTGCTTAGTCAGGAACGCAGGCCTCTCCCTGGACTGGGCGCCCGTCTATGAACCCCATAACCAGCAGCCAAGCTCTGTTCCATCAGACTCCTTGGACATCTTCCTACCACAGCCTGTTCCCTGTCTGTCTCCCCACAGCCTCTCCAGGCTCAGCCTTCTGTCAGGGCTGGATCCGCAGGGCTTCCCCCGGATCTCCCCAGCGTGATCCCACAGGAACAGAACAATTTCTGTAAACCAATTTCTGCCCCGCTCAGGCTCCCTCCTCACCCTGCAGGAGCCTTCCCGTTCCCCTCAGGTCTCTGAACGTTTTACTGCCCAGGGAGGGACTGCAGAGGTCTCCCCCTCACCCCCCATGCTCCAGTCCAAAGGCCTCTTGGGCTTTCCCATCACTGGGGCCCTATCAACGTCACAGTCCACTGTGGTCTGTTTCACAGCCATTGGGTTTGAAAAACACGCACATGCCACAATTTCAGCTTTTAAAATCTGAAATGTCAGTGTTGTCATTGTGGGAGCTCTGACCCAAAAAGGAGTTGGGAGCAGAGTTGAGGGCTTGTGGTTGTGGTACCCTTACTTCTGTATTGAGCTCATTGTGGAGCTGCCTTCAGACCTGGGCAGCTGGAAAAACTCTAGGCTTTGTCTACACTGGCGCGATCTTGCGCCAGAAACATGCAAATGAGGCTAAGCATGGAATATCGCCAATCCTCATTTGCATATCTAATGAGCCGCCATTTTGTGGAAGAGGCTCTTGTGTAAGAAGGAGCGTCTACACTGCCCCTTTTTGCGCAAGGAAAACCTCTTGCGCAATGCCGGTACGCTGATTATTTTCAGGAATAATGGCATTGCGCAAGAGAGTTTTTCTTGCGCAAGAAGGGGCAGTGTAGATGCTCCTTCTTGTGCAAGAGCCTCTTCTGAAAAAAATGGTGGCTCATTAGGTATGCAAAGGAGGCTTGGCAATATTCCACGCTTAGCCTCATTTGCATATTTCTGGCGCAAGATCATGCCAGTGTAGACCTAGCCTTATAGTGTAGACATAGCAATTAAGGTAGAGGTTGTACAACCCACCACAGTGGTGCTGAGAAATTGCTTCTCTAAGCTTTGTCCCAGTGTGACACACAACAGACTGACCCGTCCTTTTCTAGCACAATTCGAGATGAAACACCTTGTATTACTTGGCACTGTAGGTCATGCAAAGGGTATATAAAAATCACTGGGTGGAAACCTGGTGTTAAGGATCCAGTGTGGCAGGCAGTAGGAGAAACTGGATTCTAGAAATATTCAAATAGGGTAACAGTGAGCAGCTGTCTTTTGCTGGCAGGGAAGCATCACCCTGAATTCTTCCTTTAACAAGATCTCTGTTAATGACACTTCATGAAAATATTTTGGCCCTGATCCAGCAAAGCATGTAAGCATGTGCTTACCTGTAAGCATGTGCGGAGTCCCACAAACATCAGTGGGGGCTACGTCCCTATTTCAAGTTAGGCACAGGATTAAATATGCTGCTGTACTGGGCTTTATCTCACACAGTAACCCCCATTCTCCACATGCACTCTCTCAGACATGCCTGTCATGTGACACATACTGCACATGTGCTTGTACCCTGCGGGGCAGTCTTTGCCCTTTCTGATTGGCTGTGTGCGCCAGCCACCACTGGCTCTTTCCTTCTCTCCCAGCCTCAGGTCCCTGCTTTCTGGATTGGTCTCCATTCCTACCTCCCTCTGACCTACCTTCTCCCACATCCTTCTCTTGATCCAACTCCTACCAGTGGCAGATCAGAGGTGCAATTCTACACTTGCCTGCAAAATGGCGTCCTCCTCTTTAGAGATAAGATCCCTTGATGCTATTGGAACACAAAGTTAATGTGACCATATGTCAGATCAGAGGTGCAATTCTACACTTGCCTGCAAAATGGCGTCCTCCTCTTTAGAGATAAGATCCCTTGATGCTATTGTAACACAAAGTTAATGTGTTAATAATGTGTTAATAATGTTCCTTTATTTTCCCAGGCAAAAGGCCAAGTGGAGCTGGACATGGTGCTTGCTGCTTTTGATGACCAATATATAGGATGTGCCAATAAAATGGATGAAATTGTGCCTGGACTATTAGAGAAAGAAAAGCCCATGTCCTCGCGGTTGAGAATGGTGTGGGAAACCTCAGAAAAAAAATGGCAAGAAGTAAAAACAAAGCTTCCTCTCCCCACGGGCTTTAAGGATGAGCATGGAAGAGCCATAGTAGCCTATACTGACAATGACTTTCACGAGGAGTTTAATCATGCAGTAAAAAGTACTGGGACATCTCGAGATAACTACATGGAGCATTTTCAGTTCAAAGCCTTTCATTATTATTTGACAAGAGCCTTACAGCTCTTACGAGGGAAGTGTGACGAGAGGTACAAAATGGCGGTGTACCGGGGGGTTAAAGGCATTAGATTTCAGCACACAGGATCAGACCCCATTAGGTTTGGACAATTTACCTCTTCCTCAGTTAATAAAGAAGTGGCTAAGATATTTGGCACAGACACATTTTTCACCATCCACACGTGCTTCGGCGTTGACATCAGGAACTTCTCAAACTTTCAGGAGGAGGAAGAAGTGTTAATCCCAGTCCATGAGATATTCAGAGTGTTTCAAGAAGAAGGGAGTACAACTAACAGCTATGTCCTCCGGAGCACAAACCAGACCTGCAGCCACTTTAACTGCGCGTATCTGGACAGTGAGTACTGTACTGAACGGGAGAAATGTGATGGGGGGATGTTTGCTGGGGGAATTTGAAACACCTGGGGGGGGACTGGGAGAGCTGATGAAAAGGACACTGACAAGGGGACTTGCCACCAGGGCTGGGGGGGTGACAGGCTGCCATAAACTTTGCAGCTAGCAAGGGCTCAGGCTGGGGTGGGCAGATACTGGGCCCCAAGTGTTCCCTGAGGAAAGAGAAGGTGCCTAGACACCATGACGAGGGGCTCACTAGAAACGGGGAAGGTCCCAACCCGCTATGAGTTTTACACACACACACGCCCCCTGCAGGGCCTGGCAGAGCGGCTGTGTCTTCTCAGACAGGGCCCAGCCAAGCCATAGGCTGGGGGCAGGGGGGCGGCCCAGGGGGCAGGCGG